GAAATCATAACAAATGAAATGTTTGTTACATTGTTCTCAGCCTTTGTCAGGCCATACTTGGAGTACTGCGTGCAGGCCTGTCCTCCATGCTTGGTACGCGACAAGATGACACTCGAATGAGTTCTGAGGGTTGGTACAAAAATGGTACAAGGTTTGAGGCATCTCTCATATCTTGATAGGCTGCTCAAGTTGCAAATGGTCTCCCTGCACTATAGGTGCCTTCAAGGAGACCTGCTTCTTAGGTACCGTATATTGCCCAACAAGCTTAGGCCTGGTTTAACTGCACTGTTCCATCCGGCTCAGATACCATTTCTTCGTGGTCACTGTGAAGCTGCATAAGCCCAGGTCTGATCGCGTTAGAGCTGACTTTCGTTTATCACGCAGGGTCATCGAACCATGGAACGCATTACCCAGCGAAGTAGTATTAGCACTAACGGTGAGGGAGTTTGAACATCGACTCGACGCCCTTAGGCTGCAGTTTCAGACCTTTCCTTTTGGTTCTTAACTTCTACATCCATTTCCTTGGCTTCTCACACCTATTACTGTCTTATCCACACATTCTCCCGTGTTACAGTTATCATTAGTTATTTTTGTTTCCTTTCTATTAGCCTTTATTTTTATTCACGTGGCCGGTACAGTGGGGACTGCTAGTGCAGGCATTGATTGGATGATCGTGATGTGATTCGTGTGTATCGATTTGGCTCTTCTCGCTTTCAAATCGCTCCTGCAAACTTCATCCTGGTTCAACGACGTATTGAAGAAGGAACACCCATGGGAATTTTCCTACCGTTCCTATCCAACTTGAACTTATATTATGAGATTGGCCGCGCCTGCTTGAAGCATTCGCATGTGTTCCAGTTGGGGAAACCTTGGCTTTATCCTGCTAATCGGCGGCTTAATGCTGTACAAGAAGCAGCGGTATTAAAGTTGATGAAGTCTTTTCGTCAGACACGTGAAATCAGGAATTTCGTGTTGACGGGATACCGCGTCCGTATTACCAGACGTGATTTCATCATCTGAGGCATAGGAGTCAGGCGGAGCAAGTTAGTGAGGTGGAACATGTAATCACCGTGCTGGAAAGCGAAAGTTCATGTACGGTTGTGAAGCAGCTGTTGAAGCTGCGATTCCTGTTCTTCGTACCTGTGTGCATTCAGAGATTGGTTGCACGATACGGCGAAGTTATACTGGCTGATTCGACGCATCAGGTTCATTACGGGACTACATTCTATGGCATTGCATGTTCGTTGACGTCACGAGAGTGGGGATGTCCTTTTTACGCCTTGTTACCAAATGAGACGACGGAGAGTTATTTGGAGGCGGCAACAGCTATGCGTGCAATGGTTCTTAGCACGGCATCCGTGCGGACTATTGTGGTAGACAAGTGCGCGCAACAAATGAACACTTTCAGGGAGGTGTATCCGGAGCCGTGCATGGTTTGGTACCGTGTCCACATGTTACGGGACATAAACCGACGGTGCAGTCAGCCTCCAATTGCGGATCCAGCGGAAAAGGCTTTTCTGATCCGTTTGTTGAGGAACCTGATATTCACGCCTGAGGAGACGCAAACATTCGAATTCAAGTTCAGATGGAACTGGAACGTTAGGAGAATCCCGTGAGTGTTCCATTTTTCGTGGATCGTTGAGCCAGGAATTGATGAGGTGCTCAGTTCCATCGCAATGAGGCTGGACCTTACCGTGGTGCGATGGTTTGTGTGCCTCTGTGATCCATTGAGCTATACTGGGTGGTGCATTTTTGCACCTTCAGAGCCACTCATACCCAATTGGTCAATGGTTAGAGGCCAGACAAACTCAGCCTCCTGGTCCTCCAGGTTGGGGTTTGGAATGAGGGTGGCTCCTTATTCCTTAAAACGGACTCCTTGTAGGCCAGTGCCAAACCCTCTGCCTTGCAGTCATGTTTCTTTAACCAAAGGCTTTGGTTGAGAACCCTAATCGTTCTCCTGTCTAGGCCTGGGCAATCTGACAGTATCCTTCCCACGCCATCCAATGATCTCACTTCAAACCGATTTCTGATGCTTTGGCACCGCAGAGAATAATCAACGGTGCCCTGTCTACGACATCGATCAGGGTGGATAGGGGTTTGGATGCTACTGCTCAAGTGTCCCCGTCTTCTTATTCCCCCTCTTGCGCTTTTTCATTCTTATCGTACTTTTCCAGATTCACTTTTATCCTCCTGTTTTCAACACCCAATACTCGGGCCCTTTACTGATAGCCCTCCTCACCTCAGCTATCCCTGCCCTTAAGCTATATCTCTACCTAACGATTGTCTCATCCCTCACCTGTACTCTTTCTCTCAAGGCCCCTTCACACATCACGCTAACTACCTCAAACTACCCTCCCTCTATGCGAAGCTCTACGGTTCTCGCTCCTCGTTTCTCTGCCCTACTCCCTCGCACTACGCATACTCCTCCGCCTTCCGCAATTTCTCGGGTCCTCCCCCCCTCTGCCGCCTTGCATATTTTCTCCTTCCCTCCCCTCCTCAGGGCCCTCCTAATCCCCTATCCCCTATACCTCCCTACCTCCAACTCTTTCTACTTCGTCTCGGCCGCGCACTCCTCTTGATAACCTCACCCCTCGGGCCACTACCTGCACATACGCTAAACTCAATACCTCTCGCATTACGCACTTACAACCTTCTGACCTCCTAACCCTACTCCTTACTGACTATCTCTCCTCAGTCCCATCCTCTACCTCCAATCCTACACAACCTCCTCTCCTCTGACCAGCGGACTCGCGTACCTCACTGACTGACCTGTGCTCCTCAGCCGCTCCGATGCGCCTACCTCACTAAACGCGACCTGCTAACGAACTCACCCAACTTTCCCTCCCACTGCTCTTCCTTCTGGCCCTCAACTTCTTTCCCTTCCCTACAGCTCAACTACCGCTATCCTAGCCTCCCTCCTGACGTGCCCTATATATGCGGCTCGTACCTCACTACTCCTAACCCTACTCTGCCCCTCCATCTTCGTGCCAAAACCTCCTCCACTCAGCCCTCCCTAGCCCTCGACCCCTACCCTAGACTACCCCCTTCGTACTCACTCCACCCTGCTGCTGACTGCCTAACTAAGAGTCTCCTTCCAGCATCCCCTCACCCGGCCCTAGCCCTACTGGTGCTGAACCCGTCTTTCCACGCGCCTCTATCGGCACTTTCAACCGGCACGCTAGCTACCTCTCTCCTGTTCTAACCATCCTCCCCCTACTTTCCCTCCCCTCTCTAACCTAACAACTCCCTCCCCTCCAACACCTGCTATTCTAATCTCTCGCGTCCTCTACCTACCCTGCAACTCCATAAGGCCCTAAGTCCTGGCCGTCCTCACACTGCACCCTGCCCCTCACGCCTCTCTTACTTTTACCCACCCTACTACCTCCTCGGTCTCCAGGGCCGGCCCTTCCTACTACTCCCCCCTCCTAGTAACTATGCAAACCCCTCAACCACTTCCGGCCCTTCTCCCATCACTCCATCCCTCTCTAACCCCTCTTGCTTTGCCTACCCCCTCACCTAGCACCCTTCGGCCCTAAAATTCTCGGCGCCCCTCAGAGCTCTCATTTTCCCCGCTTCCTAACTTACCTTACTAGAGCCTAACCACGCGACCGGCCGCGTACTGCCTCCGGCCCTGCAAACCAAACATCCTCTCCCTCCTATCTGCCTCTCAATGGCTCACCAGCTACACCTCCTGCTCTCACTTCATCTTCCTTCTCTGTATCAGGCCTCTCACGCTTCTTACCTGCGCCCACTACGCCCTTCCTTCCTCCACCATAACACGTGCCCTACGGCTGCTCCTCATCCTCGAACCTTTACCCCTCACACTCTACGTCTCCTCCCTACCTCTATCCTCGCCCTCCCCGCCCCTCGCTCAACCTTCTCCGTGCCCTCATGCTTCTAACTCAGGACCTCCACTCTCAATGCTCTTACGCAGCGCCGCCCTACTAGGAGATGCTCCCTCTCGGCCCCTCATCCTCCTTCCCCTTAACCCATGGACACTATTTTCCCTACCACTCACTGACCTCCTCCCCTCCCTTCGTAACATCAGCAGGCTGCTATCTCTCGCCCTACGACCCCCTGAACAACCCCTCCCTACGTACCTCATGCTAGCTCACCCTCACTGCTAGGCCTCCGTGCTGCTAGTCCTGACTAACCTTGCTCGTTGCTAATACAAATCCTCAGCTTATCACTCACCTACTGATCCTTGCTCCCGCCCTTACTCATCCTGACGCATCCTACACTCGCCATTCCTGCTATACCTCAATAGCACCCTACCTCCTAACTCCCCCCCCCTCACGATGCTCGACTTACCATCCATTCTTCACCCTCCCTCCTACTCAGGCCCTGCCTTCTAACCTCGGAGTCTGTCTTCTCCTCCTACTACGACTCCAAAATACTAGGCCCTAATATTAGCCCCTCTCGCCTCCCTCACATCTCATTCCCGCCCCCTCTGAAACTACTGCCTCCTCCTTCCCAGCCCTGCTCACACTTTGTATCCTTGCCCTCTCCCTCCTACCTCCCTATAGTACTCTCCACTGCCCCCCTCACTTGTAAGTCGGCCTCTCACCCTCCCGTAACATCCCTGCCTCTCCCCAATATCTCGGCCCCTCCCACCTGCATTCTTCTTAATCAAACCTCACTCCTTTTCTCGCGCCCTTCGAGCTCTCCCCTATAACACTCTAACCTCTTCCAACTGGCCTGCCCCCTCCCGCCCCTCCTGCTCCTCCTTACCCCCTAAGCTCTTACTCTTGACAAACTTCAATAACCTCTGCCTCTAAGTGTAACACCCTCCTCCCTCTGACCCTCCATCCTCCTCCCCCCTCGCCTACCTCCTAAAACTCACCTGGACTAAAAGGCCTCACCTCTTCCCGACCCCTGCTCCCTTAACCTCACCTCTACTTAGGCCCCACCTGGGCCCACGCGCCTCGCCTCATGCATCTCAGCTTTACCCCCCTCCAAACCTAATCTCCCTCGGCCCTCCCTGCTCGACCTCTACGCGTACTAGTAAGCCCTCTAAACTCTCCCTCTGCCGTAGCCCTACCCTAAGAGCTACCCTAGATCACCTTCCCCTAAACACTTGCTCTGTTGGCCCCCAACCTCTATCCCTTTTTATCAGAAAAACCTCACTGGCTGCTCTGGGGCACCCTCCCCTCCCTTCCGTCCTTCTGAACTCTGCCTCCCTCACAACCCCCCCCGTCCCCTCTCTTAGCTCCTCAACCCTCACTCACTACCTCTCGCCACTCTCTAATCCCTCCAAATCTCCATGCGCCATTCTCGCCCTTCTAATGTCCTACGTCAACCTCCCTCGCTCTAGCCTTCACCACCTCCTCTGACCCGCCAACTCCTAATACCCTCACCTTACCTGCACATCTGAACCACCCTCCCTCTCCACCCTCCTGGCCTGTGCTATTCCGCTGCACACACTGAAACCCCCACCTAACCCCCTCGCCCACCTCCTCCATACCTCCTCCGGCCCCTACGCCCTTCTCAGCCCAGACCCTAACCCTCAACCCCCCCGAGTAGGCTAACCCGCACAGCACTAACGCCTCTGCCTCAATTCCCGTCGGACTTCCATACACCATCTGCCTCGTCCCCCTACCCTCCCTACACGCCTTCTCGGCCCGACCCATTGACTCTCAACTCCTCACAACTCGCTAACATCATCCACGAGATACGGCCCTACTTGTCGGGAGCTATCTGCCCAACCTTCTCACCTACGCGCCGCAATCACCTCACTAACCATATCCCTTCAGTGACGCCTACCTCGCCATTCTACCCGGTTCGACTCCACGTGACCTTCCGCTTCGCCCTAACTCTCCAATCACTCACTGATGGTCTATACTCTAACTCCTTACTAGCCCCTTACTGCTACCCTCGACTCGATCTCAACGTAGCCCTCTTCCTCGCCCTTATCTGCTCTTCTAAAACTAGGTCTCTTCCTTCCCTGCCCATACCTTATATTCTCGGCCCTAGCTCTCATCTTCGCTTCCTTACATCTGCCTGGCTCGTCTAGACTCTGAACAAACCTGCTTGACCTTTCTTGCCCTTCTGCTACGCTCTCTAATTCTCACATCCCTCCTGGCCCTCATTCTCGGCCCCCCACCTCATCTTTGCTAGCTCCTCCTCTCTACCTGTGGCCTCCCTATACTGACCTCCTCTTCCGGCTCTCCTCGCGTCCTCTACACTCGTCTCCCTACCGGCCCTGCCTCCTACTCTTCACTTCCTCGCCCCGTCCTACTCCTACTTCTTCCCCTCCTACCCTACCCTTACCCACTAGTCCCTCTGACCTCCCTACTCTACGTGCTCCTCCCTGCTCCTCGTCCGCTCTCTGGGCCCTCCTGCTCTCGCTCCTCCCTGATTCTCGGCCCTTGAACTACAAACCTCTTACCCTCCTAAACACCCTGCTAATCTGGGCCCTAGTTCGCCCTCAACCCTAAACCTTGTGCGACCCTTTACGCTTTCCGCTCAAGCAGCTACTGGCTCTCCTACCCAAGTCCCCACTCCAGCCCTCAACTCCTTGTCACCCTTCCCTCCCCTGATTGCCGTGCCCTCGGTGCAGCTCACTTACACACCCTACATCTAAAGGGAGCTAGCCTCAACTCTCCGCCTTCTCTCTGAGTCAGTCTATAGACACAAACCTCTCCGTCCCTACCGCTCTCTCCAACACTCTTCTCTCCCCCACATTGCTTCAATAGTCGCTTGCCTTATAGTTTCAACGCATGTGAACGCGGAGCGTCCTTCCTGCCCTGTCAACAGGCCCATGTCCAACCAAGCGGCCCATTCCAGTTCATCGGCTTCCATTTGGAGGTCTCGATTCTCCTTCAGATAGGCATGCCTCAATGTTCGCACATTGCTTCAGATCGGTCAACAGGCAGCACTTGCTCGAACAGTAGTGAACCTATCGATCGAGATCTGCTACTTATCGGAGACCCGCCTGCAAGACCCAAACTCTGTAATCACTTTGCGATACCCTTCAGTTGACACTAGCAGCACATTCTCGTTGCGCCTATCCAGTGAGGATGCAGCTTCGGGCACCGGCCAAGTCGGTGTTGGTATTGCCCTGAGTCCCCGGGCTGAAGGTACTCTGGTTGATTGGATTCCAATCAGTAGCCGGATGTGTGCGGTCCGATTGGCTGGCTCGTTCAAAGCTTCGAAGTCACGTGGGACTAACAGGTGTCTATTCGTTTTCGCTGCCTATGCACCGACAAAATGTAGCGATGACTCGGTAAAAGACGACTTCTATCGTCAACTGAACGAGCTCCTTAGTCACAGAAGAAGCTCGGCCACTGTAGTGCTGGCTGGGGATCTGAACGCTCAAGTTGGAAAATTATCCACAGATGAGCTGCATCTGGACGGCCAACATGGTATAGGCTCTCGTAATGATAACGGTGAGCGGTTACTTCATTTGTGTGAAGATGCTCGCTTATTTCTTGCGAGCACTAATTTCAGACACAGCACCCGCCCATCACCAAAGACTTGTTTGCGAACTGGAAGCAAATGAATTGAAGTGCCTCTTTGGATACGCTCCAATAGTTTTTTTACACAAGTACAACTGTAACCTGAGCAGAGGGTGTGCTAATAATAATATGCGAAACTGAATAGCAGCATTTCCCTGGAGGCCAGCGCTGCGTACTGCTCGGTATTTATGTCACTTAAGTCTATGTAGCATAGTGGCAGTCAGAGAGAAAGAGGCAGGTCAGTGGGACTAGAGCACCTCAGAGCAGTGAGATGGGACACTCCATTTGAAGAAAAAATGAAAACAGGGCGCGATAATAAATGTTAGGGTCAGGATGAGAAAGAGTTATTGACGAAAGGGTGGGAAAAGGCCGATCTGGCGAGACAGGATTAGTCAGCGAGTTGGAAAACCACGTTTAATAAAGGCAGAAAAAAGCTGTAACAATAGAAGATCAACGAGTCTAGCAGCCTCTCTGGGTAGGGGAATAAGAGCGTTTCATCTGCATAGCGTATACCGCTTAAGTCTACGTAGCATAGGAGCAATCAGAGAGAAAGAGGCTGGTACGTGGGACTAGATAACCGCAGGCAGTGAGAGCTGGCACTTCAGTGAAAGAATTAAAAACGGAGCGTGATAACAAATAAGCTAGGTTCAGAATGAGAAAACTTTATTGAAGAAAGGTGAGAAAAGCCCACAAGGCTCTCCAGATAGTGTGAATGTGACTTCCATTACTTCGTCAACAGGGAATTAGCGGAGAGGTAACAACAGACCTCCCTGTCTCACCGCTGCACGTCCGGTAAGTGTATCCGCTGTTAATAAGTGGCTTTCAGAACACCCGTCCATCTGCGCTGCCTATATGGTTAATCCGCCACTACTTGTCAGCCTTCACGTCACCTTTGCCGCTGTTAGTATGTCCGTTGCATCTCCGGTAAGTGTATCCGCTGTTAATAAGTGGCTTTTAGAACCGCTGTGTATCCATGTTGCCTATATGGGTGATCCGCCTCCATGTCACCTTTGTCGCTGGTAGCTTGTCCGTTGCACCTCCGGTAAGTATATCCGCTGTTAACAAGTGAGTTTGATAGAACCCCTCGGCCGGCTTTTATAGAACCCCTCTATCTGCGCTGCCTATATGGGTGATCCGCCACTACTGGTCAGCCTTCATTTCACCTTTGCAGCTGCTAGCTTATCTGTTGCACCTCCGGTAAGTGTATCCGCTGTTTGCAAGTGGCTTTTAGAACACCCGTCCATCTGCGCTGCCTATATGGGTGATCCGCCACTGCTGGTCAGCCTTCACTTCATCTTTGCAGCTGCTAGCTTATCTGTTGCACCTCCGGTAAGTATATCCGCTGATAACAAGTGGCTTTTATAGAACCCCTCTATCTGCGCTGCCTATATGGTTAATCCGCCACTGCTGGTCCGCCTCCACGTCACCTTTGCCGCCGCTATCTAGTCCGTTGCACGTCCGGTAGGTGTATCCGCTGTTAATAATTAGCTTTTAGAACTGCTGGGATCCATACTGCCTATATGGTTGATCCGCTAATGCTGGTCCGCCTCCACGTCACGTTTGCGGCTGCTAGCTTGTCCGTTGCACCTCTGGTAAGTATGTCCGCTGTTAAGAAGTGGCTTTTAGTAGTGCTGTGTATCTATGCTGCCTATATAGGTGATCCGGCGCTAGTTTTTGGCCTACACGTATCCTTTGCGTCCTCTGTACTCCGTTGCAACTCCGGAAAGTGCATTGGCTTTTCACTGTTTTCTTTTAGGACACCCGTGTATCTCTGACCTATGCGTCAGTAATGGTATTCTTCCACGAAACATTTCCTGCAACATAGATACTCTGTTGCACCTCCAGTAAGTTTATTTGCTGTTGACAATTGGTTTTTCAACTCCTGTGTATCCGTGCTGCCTGGATAACTGATCCGCCACTTCTGGACGGCCTCTAGCTAACGGTTGCCGCCGCTACGTACTTCCTTTCATCCACGGTAAGTGTATTGTGTCTTCATGCGGCTTTTACAACTCCAGTCTATCCGTGATTCCTAAATGGGTGATGGTCAACTACTGGTCTGCCACCACATCACATATGCCGCCTCTATCTACTCCGTGGCACATCCCGTAAGGGTATGGGCTATTAATAGGTGGCTTTTAGAACCCCTCTCTTCGTGATGCTTACTTGAGTGATGTGCCACTACCACTTTCCCTGCATGTAACATGTGCTGCCGCGTATATACTCCGTTGCACCTCTGGTAAGTGCATTGCTTGCTCACTTTTCGCTTTCAAAACCCCTGTCTATCCGTGATGAGTGGTCGGCCTCTACTACTTTTCCTACATGTAACATGTGCTGCCGCCTATGTACTCCGTTGAACCTCTGGCTAGTGCACTGCCTGTTCACTTTTCGCTTTCCGAACACCTGTCTATCCGTGGTGCCTACTTCAGTGATCAGCCAGTACTGGTCCGCTTCCACTTCACCTGTGCGACAGCAGAAATACTTCTAGTGTACGTCAGGTTGGTGTATTAAGCTGTAACGTGTGGCTTTTAGAACGGGCGCATATTCCCTTCGTATGCATGACTACTCTGACAGTCTCGTCGCTTCCGGGGTAATGCAGAACTCCATGCGTATGTTCATCTCTGCGTATTTTACCCACGAGATGTTTTCATGTAACCTTTCTTTTTATCAATAGTACATATTTCTACTGTCTTACGTGTTCGTTTATCCAATGTCCCGTTACATTGATTTCGAACTGTCACCGCGGCCTCTTATGAGGCTTGGGGAACCATTTCTCAGTGTTCACCCTTGGTGTGTTCAGAGCTACATATACGCTCACTCACCTAGTGATGAATATTTCTGAATGGTCCAAATGTCCGTCACGCTTATTGCTTCGGCTTTCCCTATGTCGAGAACCATTTACCTCCACCGCTGCTTATCACCTAGAACGTTACCCTGTATGGATATATTCGGGTGTTGCTCTTCCCAACCCTGACACCCCTGTATGGTTGTTGCCTTAGCAATTAGCCTTAATACAAGACAACTACCACGTCGGGTGATACATGGCAGCTGTGCAAAATCATGAACATAAATGCGGTAAACCGATATGTATATTCATTGCATCTACCGCCTGTCCGCCAAGCTGTGCGCAGAGCCGTGATAAGTGGATAACACTGCATTTTCAAAAAACTAGTGCAGCACAGATGAGTTTTCCATGAGCATATTACCGCCGCATGCCATCTGCTGCTCTAGAACCGTGAACAGAGGCATACACCCCCCGTTGTCCAGTTTTTACGGCTAATAGAAGTCCCGACGAATGCAAGCAGAAATCAACCGCTTATTCACATGCTAACGTATTTTAAACATTCATGACCCGGAATCTCTACCATTGATAACTACATGTGCACTGCGTCGATTACGTTTGATTCTTTTGGTTAAAGCACATTGTTTCGTGTACGCATACTGTTTCCCGATTGGTGCTATTGCCGCACAGTTAACGGGACGTATTTGTGGTAATTGACAACCGTTCATGGAAGCTTGTGCAGCCCAATGACATACGTTTCAATCCAGTTAATAATAACTTCTCCCTATTGGGGCATGGACACCCTTATAACGCAGCTTGAATTTCCGATGGTGGAAACATCCAATGCGTCACAGTTTCGTAGTTGATGATTACGCTGCCGTGACCGTACTTATATTCTCTTTCCATGCATAACGGCAACAAACGCAATCCATGGGTCCAGTAAAGTATGCACATTAATGCGATAAATGACACATTAACATGGCCAAAATATGCAACCATCACCTTCGCAGGAATACACAGTAACACGTATTCATGCGTAAATGTGTGCTATACATGCATAAACTTATTCCCATCCCTGTTCATAACATCTATAAATTGCTCATTTATCACAGTGTGATTGCATGTGCTTCATACAAGTCATAGATTTACGTACCCTAAAAATTTCAGCTAACATTTATCATGTTAATTAGGTAATGTTGTC